CTGAAACACAAGAACGAGACGAGAGGTTTAGGACAGAAGTTACTTTAAAGACTAGGGATGTAACAATAATGTCGTGGACCATCACAATATATCGAATTAAAAGTCTCTTGCTTAAATTAAGAGTTATAAAAGACAGAGGGAACTACATAGACCATGATCCTTTGCTCCATTTCAGTGCAGACGACAAGAAGAAATAACAGTTCTGAGCCCTTTAAAGTCTTAGTTCTTTGAATGAAGTGTCGGATTAAGTTGAGTTTAGAAGAAAAAGTAGAATATTAATAGTTTTTTCAGCCTCCACAAAATATCGTAATAAACATTGTACGATGAGATGTATATCGTAAAAATATCGCGCCGTGAGATGTATATCGTGAAAATATTGTGCTGCGAGATATCATATTGAGCCGTAGATGTATATCATGAAAATATCGCGCCGTGAGATGTATATCGTGAAAATATCGTGCCGTGAGATGTATATCGTGAAAATATCGTGCCGTGAGATGTATATCATACCTCGTCGTGAGATGTATATTGTGAAAATATCGTGCCGTGAGATGTATATCGTGAAAATATCGCGCTGTGACATGTATATCATGAAAGTATCGCGCCGTGAGATGTATGTTGTGAAAATGTTGAAAGAAAAGTTAAATTAAATATTAGAACTAGAAGTCGAATTATTATAATTTTTTTTTTTTTAATGTTTGATACTAAAATGAAAAAATTAAATAACAAACTGTTTTCCCATTTTACTGTTTTTCATTCTTAATTGAGATTCAAAAGAAGGAATGCGACACTGATCGGTTTGTGCGTTAAATGTGTGTGAATGAAACAAAACACAACTCCAGGTCTGTTTGTGACGAGGAAACGACAGAGATCAGAAAATAAACAGCACAATATGAACTCTTTAATGCAACGTTTAAACAGGTTAAAGAGTGAGTTGTTCCCCCGCTGCCCGTCGTCCTCCGTCCTCCGCCTCGTCCTCCGCTCGGGTCTGAAAAGTGCACTGTGTTAATGAGGAGCAGGACAATAGCAGCTCACAGCTCTTATGTAACGCTCAAACTCTTTCAGTGCATTTCCGCCGCTGAATTTCCCAAATGTACAGCTCCATTCATCCTGCCCGAGCGGCCGGTCTCGTCTACAGACTGTTTGGATCCAAAAGTGTCTGGAACTGGACCACAGAACGAGAAAAAAAAAAAACCTCTGTCTAAAACCACAGCCGCTTATTTGTCCCACGTGTCTCTCAAATGCATCTGCTCTAGAAAATTCTCGTAATATCCACAACAAAATATACAACGTTTTTTACCTGAAATAAATCATAGTTTGGTGCTTCGACTGTTGATTCTGTAAAGTTTCTCGCTCACTCCAATCACTCGATTATCATTTTCTGCTGCAGATTTCACGACTTGCAGTTTGTAATCTGCAGAATTTGATTTTGTTTTTGGGGACATTTGCGTTCAGTCTTCTCAGTCGTCTTTAAAATTTAGTTTGAATGTTAAATTGTTCAGTGGTGCAGAAGTAATGGTGCGATCGACTGACATGATACAGACAGAACAGAGGCTCTTTCTGCAGGAGACATGCGCAGTAGAGCCAAGTGACAGTGGGGTCAAGTGGTAATGGAGGGAAACAGGGGCAGATTTTTGACATTCAAATGTCTCTTATTCAGAAACTAGAGGGACTATTGAAATAAGTAAAGTATCAGAATGTAGGAAAGAGTTACACTCCAACAGGGTCAAGTTAAACCTGTGATATTCTTTCAAGTTGTTGACAAAAAATTTAAAAACTCATGTCGGTAACGGAGGGAATGAAATATGCAGCACTTTTTGGTCAATAAATCCAAACAGTGATAACTCTTGGTTCTCACTTACATATCCTTAACAAACTGGTTTGAATATTTGCTTCATATATAGTTTTCTACCATATGGTACAAGATTAGGTTTGAAAAAACCTCTTACTTTTTGACTTTATTAAGAAAGGTCATGGTAACGGAGGGAAAAGTAACGGAGGGAAAATTGTACAAACAAGTAGAAGGTGCAGGATTTTACATCATTTGTCCCTTTTTTCTTCCAAATACTTTAATATTACTTCAAAATGAAAGGAAACTATTTCTATAAAATATGTCAGTCCTTCCAAGCTAAATTTTTATCATTTTAAATACATTTTTTAAAAAAAAATCATGTCCCTTCATCAACAGTTCAAAGATGGAATAACACAAGATATGATGAAATACATCCATTTATTTACATGATTTTTGGGTCTTTGAAATTTGGGAAATAATTTTTGTTCCATGTTTCATACATGGTCTGTTTAAAACATATGGAACTTTAGAACCAAAAATGGAACAGAAAAAAGGTCAACAGTTTCATAAACTAGAGTACATATGTATCTGTTCAATACATTTTTATATCAGATGCATGAACTTGAATTTTTGGCCTTGATGTTTACTTCTGCTTGACCGGGCCCATATATAGTTCCCTCTGTTTTTTGCACCATAACTCTTCATTTAAGCAAAGAGACTTGTAATTCGATATATTGTGATGGTCCACGATATTATTGCGAGAACTTTGATGATACGATATCACGATATTTCGGTTATTGTTACATCCCTAGAAATCAATGTACCTTTTGAGGAAGGGCACAAATCTGGCACAAATGCTAAACGAACATTCAAATGAAATAAGAATAAGAAGAGGCTTTATATACCTGACTACAGAGAACCACACATCGGGGCTCTCAAGTGTCTGGATTTAAAGACGGGGTGTTTTATGTGTTTTATGACAGCGCTCTGAAGGGGGAGTGGCTCAGCACAGAGAGCAAAGGCATGGAGGGACATGGAGCGTTTTCTGCTTTAGGTGAATATAGCATTTTCAAAACAATGAACATGATTTAGTCCTGGTTCAGTTCCGGTTCAGTCCGTAAGTGGCTCAAAAGTCCAGTTCTTATTTTTGGTTTTATATTAAACAATGAATGAACAAATGATACACAGATTAGTAACATTATTTAATTTGTAAACAACTAAATATCCCGTTTTACTACGACAAAACAAGTTCTAACCCTGAACCTCTACAAACCTTCGGAAACACGCAGAATTCTTGTGTTTGTTGAGCGGTTCGTAGGTCATTGTTCTCAAATTTTTTCTCCAGCATTTAAAAGGTGAAAGTTGAAACTACTAAAAATAATAAATTGCAAAACTAATACCAGGAAAATCCCAGTTACATATTTTCCTAAACGGGTCACAGCGCTTACGACAACGATGAAAAATAAATCGTAAATGACTTGGCCTCGTTCGTAACAATTCACCGAGAAAAGCAGGACAAGTTTAAGTCGCTCGGTCGTTTGAAGTTAATGTGGTAAAGCAGAGATAATGCAGCAAAGGCCCATGGGTAATGTAGTCTCTAAATGTGTTTAAATATTAATACTGAACATATGGAGACGCATTAAACAGAAAAGAAAACAAACACAGACTCAAGGGACACGGCAGAAAAACAAGACTACAGACCAGGACTGAACCAGGACTAAACTAGGATTAAACCAGGACTAAACCAGGACTATTCCAGGACTAAACCAGGACTACATCAGGACTAAACCAGGACTACACCAGGACTAAACCAGGACTACACCAAGTCCAAATAAGGATTAAACCAGGACTAAACCAGGACTACACCAGGTCGAAACCAGGATTAAAGCAGGACTAAACCAAGTCCAAATAAGGATTAAACCAGGACTAAACCAGGACTAAACCAAGACTAAACCAGGACTAAACCAGGTCTAAACCAGAAGTGAAGCAGACTAAACATGGACTAAAACCAGGACTAAAGGAGGACCAAATCTGATTTAAACCTGGTCTAAACTAGATCTAAACCAGGACTCAAACCAGGACCAAACCAGGACTAAACCAGGTCAAAACCAAGAGTAAACCAAGTCTATACCTGGTTTAAACAAGAACTCAAACCAGGACTCAAACCAATATTAGAGCAGGAATAAATCTGGTCTAAAACTGGACTCAAATCAGGACTAAACCAGAACTAAACCAGGACTAAAACTGGACTAAAACCAGGACGAAAGCAGGACCAAATCTGATTTAAACCTGGTCTAAACTAGATCTAAACCAGGACTCAAACCAGGACCAAACTAGGACTGACACCAGGACTCAAACCAGTACTAAGCCAGGACTAAACTAGGACTAAGATAGTTTAAAGAAGATCTAAACCAGGTCTAAACTTGGACAAAGAGAAGTCACAACAAAACCAGGACTAATCCAGGTCTAAGTCCAGAGAACAATGAAAATAAAAAATGAGCTACAGAAACGTCTTGAATTTCCAGTTCAAATAAATTCCCAAAATAGAATCTCTAAATTTAGACCACAACAGTTCAAAACAATACTGACATGAAAAAACAAACGGCCTGAAATACACAAGAGACAAATATGAAACAGAATCACTGAACCTGACATGAAGAAAATATTTGATGTTAAAATATCACATTTATTTTATTATGGACAATAAAACTATTTCACAATATATGTTTTTACATAACAGGTTAAAGGTCAGGTCAGGACCAGGGTCAGGGTCAGGGTCAGGATCAGGTTAGGACCAGGATCAGGGTCAGGATCAGGGACAGGGTCAGGGTTAAAATCTGAATCAGGACCAGGATCAGGGTTGGGACCAGGATCAGGGTCAGGATCAGGATCAGGGTCAGGATCAGGGTTAGGACCAGGATCAGTGTCAGGATCAAAGTTAGGACCAGGATCAGGGTCAGGATCAAAGTTAGGACCAGGGTCAGGATCAGGGTCAGGATCAGGGTTAAAATCTGGCTCAGTATTAGGGTCAAGATCAGGACTAGGATCAGGGTTGGGACCAGGATCTGTGTCAGGATCAAAGTTAGGACCAGGGTTAAAATCTGGGTCAGGATTAGGGTCAAGATCAGGGTTAGGATCAGGTTAGGATCACGGTTAGGATCAGGATCAGGATCAGGACCTGGAACGGGATCTGGATCAGGACCTGGAT